CTGGAATTGCAGGTATGAGCCACTGGGCCCAGCTACAAATGTATTTATTTTAATTGCTCGTAGTTTTTCTCTCTCTAGAATACAGGCTTTATGAGGACAAGGACAGTGATTTTGATTGTTCACAGCTGCATTTTCCTGCCTTGAATTTAGGATAACTCCTCTTTCTGGGAAAGAATGTTCGATTATTTTGTATTCACAACAGTTCCAAAATTGTAGAATAATGAGACTCAAGACTGGCTAAGTTTTTTTTTTTTTTTTTTTGGTTGTTTGTTCAAAAAAAAATCTGTGGCCAGGTGCTAGATTACAGGATGGTTTGTGTCTGTAATTCCAGAACTTTGGGAGGCCAAGGTGGGCAGGTCATGAGGTCAGGAGTTTGAGACCAGCCTGGCCAAAATGGTAAAACCCTGTTTCTATTAAAGATACAAATATTAGCTAGGTGTGGTGGCCCATGCTGCGCTTGTAATCCCAGCTACTTAGGAGGCTGAGGCAGGAGAATCACTTTAATCCGGGAGGCGGAGTTTGCAGTGAGCTGAGATCACACCACTGCACTCCAGCTTGGGTGACAGAGTGAGGCTCCATCTCAAAGAAAAAAGAAAATCAAACAACAACAAAGCATCTTCAAGATTTGTCGATCTTTTGAATGTTTTTTTGATTCTCAATTTCCTTCAGAGCTTAATGCATTCTTAACATTTCATAGTCTACTTTCAGTTAATAAAGTACCATTACCCATAAATACATAAGCCTGGCAACCATGTATCCTCTATAAAATGTCATAATTTTATGGTATAGATATTATATACAATATGTCTATATAGGTTGTAAGTCACACAAGAAAAAGGTTTTTCTTATCTTTGAATAGTTCTATGTATATAAAGTAAGTAAGTGTAAGTGAAGGGAGCAAGATAGCCTTTTGCACTTAGCCCAATATTTACCATTTTTTATCATCTTCATCTTGTCTGATAACCTCATTTTCCACCTGGTATCATTTGCCTCTAGCCCGAGGAATTTTCTTTACCAGTTGTTATTGTGTAGAATTGCTGGTGACAAATTCTCTTCATTTTCTTTTACCTGAAGTATCTCCTTATTTTGCCTTCTTTTGAAGGACATCTGTGCTGGATATAGAATTCTTAGTTGACCATTTTTTTCTTCCAGCACTTTAAAGATGTTATTTTACTTTCTTTTGTTTCTATAATTTCTAATCAGAAGTCATTGGTCAGGACAAGAGGAACAGAGAAACAAAAACTGGGAAAATAATATGGTAGACCTAAAACTTATCATATCAGTAATGACAAAAACCTACATGAATCAACACTCCAGTGAACAGCAGAGATTGTGTGACTCGGTTAAAAAAAAAAACAAAAAACAGAACTCAACCATGTGCTGTTTCCAGACATGCACTTTCTTTCTCTCTTTTTTAATTTAAATTTTATTTTTAATTAAGGGGTACATGTGCAGGTTTGTTATAGAGGTAAACTTGTGTCATGCGGTTTTGTTCTACAGATTATTTCTGTACCGTTAGTACCCACCCTAGTATTAAGCCTTAGTACCCATTAGCTCTTTTTCCTGATCCTCTCCCTCCTCCCACCCTCCACCCTCAAGTAGACCCCAGTGTGTGTTGTTCCCTTCTACATGTCCGTCTTTTCTCATCATTTAGCTCCCACCTATAAGTAAAAACATGTGGTATTTGATTTTCTGTTGCTCCATCAGTTTGCTAAAGATAATGGCCTCCAACTTTATCCATATTCCTGCAAAGGACATGATCTCATTCTTTTTTGTGGCTTCATAGTATTCTATGGTGTATATGTGCCACATTTTCTCTATCCGGTGTACCACTGATGGACATTTAGGTTGATTCCAAGTCTTTGCTATTGTGAACACTGCTGCAATGAACATATGTGTATGTGTAAGGCACGTACTTTCTATTTTTGTTGAATTTATTTTATTTCACTTTAAGTTCCAGGATACATGTGCAGAATGCACAGGCTTGTTACACACGTATAGTCTGCCATGGTGGTTTGCTCAACCTATTGACCCATCCTGTAAGTTCCTTCCCCTTACCCCCTACTCCCCAACAGGCCCTGGTGTGTGTGGTTTCTCTCCCTGTGTCCATGTGTTTTCAATGCAGCTACCACTTAGGATTGAGAACATGTGGTGTTTAGTTTTCTGTTCCCATGTTAGTTGGGCTGAGGATGATGGCTTCAAGCTTCATCCACGTCCCTGCAAAGGACATGAATTCAATTTTTATGGCTGCATAGTATTCCATGGTGTATATGTATCACATTTTCTTTATCCAGTTTATCATTAATAGGCATTTGGGTTGGTTCCGTATCTTTACTATTGTAAATGGCAGTGCAATAAACATACATGTGCATGTGTCTTTATAGTAGAATGATTTATATTCCTTTGGGTATATACCCATAATGAAATTGCAGGGTCAAATAGTATTTCTGGTTCTAGATTTTTGAGGAATGGCCATGCCGTCCTCCAGAATGGTTGAACTCATTTATTTTCCCACCAACAGTGTAAGTGTTCCTGTTTCTCCACAGCCTTGCCAGCATCTGTTGTGTCTTGACTTTTAAGTAATTGCCATTCTGACTGGAGAGAGATGGTATCTTATTGTGTGTTTTTTGCATTTCTTCAATGGTCAGTGATATTGAGCTTTTTGTCATATGTGTCTTGGCCACATAAATGTCTTCTTCTGAGAAGTATCTGCTCATATCCTTTGCCCACTTTTGAATGGGGCTATTTTTTTCTTGTAAATTTGTTTAGGTTCCTTGTAAACAAACATGAGCTCTCATCATTCTTGTTTAAACACCTAACAGGCATCCTAACCAGTGCAACATGGCAGGAAAATGAAATAACAGACCAATAGAAGAAGCAGGCATGGTGACTCATGCATGTAGTAGCCACATTCTGGGAGGCTGAGGTGGGAGAATCACTTGAGTTCAGGAGTCTGAGACCAGCCTGATAGTGAGACCTCATCTCTACCAAGTAAAAATAATTTTAAAAGGAAAAAGATCAATGGATAGGAAATAAAGAAATAACTGTCTGTCTTTGTCACCAGCTTCATTTCATATGTGGAAAACACTAGGGAATTCTGAAAAAGTCTCTGGAATTAATCACTGAATTTGCAAAATAGTTCCTAAAATATATGTAATAAGCAACTTGGATAAACATAAAATGATAGCAAACAATGCTTGTCATCAAAGAAGTGAAAGTTAAAACCACAATGAGAAACCACTACACACCACCCAGAACAGGTAAAGTTAAAAAGACATATGATAAATCTAAATACTGGCAAAAACATGAAAAAAATTGCAATATCTGATATTGCTGGTGGGAATGCAAAAAATATTGCAGCCAATTTATAAAGCAGTTTGGCAATTTCTTATACAGCTACCCATCCATTACCACATGACCCAGCAATCCCACAAATATGTATTTATCCAAAAGAAATAAAAATATAAGACCACACTTGTAAGCAGTTACTTATAGTGGCTTCATTAATAACAAACTCTAACTGGAGTAATCTACATGTCTATCAACTGGATAATAGAAAAACCAGTGAATAAACTGAGATTCCAGCAATACTCGGCAGCTACTTAGTAACAAAAATGAATGAATGGCATCATCTCAAACATTGTTATCCTGAGTGAGAGACCGAACGAAGGACTACATCACATATGATCGCATGTCCGTGAAATTCTAGAAATTACACTACTTCAGTGACAGAAAGCAGAGCAGTGGTTGGGTGAAGGGCAGGGGTGAGAGTGGGAGGCAAGGATTAAATAGAAAAGAATAGAAAGGTTTTAGGGAAAAGAAACTGTTCTCTACAGTACCACAATTCTGGAGTGACTGAGCAGCGGGAGCTGAGGAGAGAGGAAGGTCTGATGGGTAAGGGGCAGAGAGAAGGGCTGGGAAGCAGGAGGTGAGGAAAAGGAGCAGGGGGAAGAATTTCTAAAGCAGTGGAAGAGCCTAGAAGGACATTCTTTGCATTAGGTATTTAATACATTTTGTGGGACTGCCTAATAACTAATGGCCTCCTTACGATTTAAAAAAGGGGGGTTACAAAAATACTAAGTGTGTAAATAAAGTACGCACACTGCTTAGATGTGCATAGTTCACAAAAACAGGCGGCGCTGGAGCATCAGTGAAGAGCACTGGGACTGCATGGAGCAACTTTGAGGTCATGGCTACAGGCTCCAGGTTGCAATGCACAGCAACACACCCTGCTTCTTTGTATTCAGGAGACGTTCTGGACTCACACAGGGAATCTTGGGCTGGGGAATGAAGATAATTTTAAATGCAACAACCCAGAGTCACAGATCCATAGTCTGAGAAAGTAAAACGTAGCTTTGAGAGTAATGCTGTTTTGACACAGGTCTTTTACAGATTGGAATTCTAACCATTCAGGGATTGACAGTATTGTGCTACCTACTGTATTAATAAATGAAAAGGGAACTGGTCTCTATGAGGATCTCTATCTGGTGCCTACAGACAAAACTTGACCAGGTTTAGAGAGAAAACTCTTGTCTCTGCACCTCCATTCCCAGGGCGAGCTCACTCTCTGGCATCAGTTCCCCGTGCTGAGTTTCCTTGTACAAGAGTCCGAGGGGAGAGGTAAGGAGTGTGAGGCGCGGAGTCCAGTTCAGGTAAGGGGATTCCAGGACGAGAAGTGAAGGGGGAAGGGCTGGGTGCAGCCTGGGGGTCTCTCCCTTGTTTCCACAGACAGATCCTTGGCCAGGACTCACGGAGGCAGTGTGACAAAGAGGCTTGTGAGGGATCAGGACAAAGGCCCAGGGCCTGCGCGTGGGTCTCAGGGTGTCAGGCTCCAAGAGCCGCCTCTGCATTGGGGAGCAGCGTTGCGGATTCCCACTTCCCTGTGTTTCACTTCTCCCAATCTGTGTCGGGTCCTTCTTCCAGGATACTCACCAGGGGACCCCAGTTCCCACTCCCATTGGGTGTCTAGAGAAGCCAATCAACGTCGCTGCGGTCTCGGTTCTAAAGTCCCCACGTACCCACCAGGAGTCAGATTCTCCCCAGACACCGAGGCTGGGGTCATGACGTCTGGAACCCTCCTCCTGCTGCTCTCGGGGACACTGGCCCTGACCGAGACCAGGACGGGTGAGTGCGGGGTCGGGAGGGAAACGGCTTCTGCGGGGAGGAGGGAGGAGGATCCCGGCCGGCGGGGCCGCAGAACCCAGGAAGCCGCGCCGGGTGGAAGGTCGAGCACGCCTCAGCCCCTCCTCGCCCCCAGGCTCCCACTCCATGAGGTATTTCAGCACCACCGTGTCCCGGCCCGGCCGCGGGGAGCCCCGGTACATGGAAGTCGGCTACGTGGACGACACGCAGTTCGTGCGGTTCGACAGCGACGCCGCGAGTCCGAGGATGGAGCCGCGGGCGCCGTGGATGGAGCAGGAGGGGCCGGAGTATTGGGACCGAGAGACACGGAGAGCCAAGGACAACACACAGATTTACCGAGTGACCCTGCAGAACGTGCGCGGCTACTACAACCAGAGCGAGGCCGGTGAGTGACCCCGGCCCGGGCGCAGGTCACGACCCCTCCTCATCCCGCACAGACCGCCCCGGTCCCCCAGAGTTTCTGGGTCTGCGATACACCCCGAGGCTGTGGGACCCGCCCAGATCCTCCACCTGGGAGAGCCCCAGGCGCTTTTACCGAGTTTCATTTTCAGTTTAGGCCAAAATTCCCGCGGGTTGGTCCGGGCGGGGGCGGGGCTCGGTGGGCGGGGCTGACCGCGGGGGCGGGGCCAGGGTCTCACACCTTCCAGGATTTGTACGGCTGCGACGTGGGGCCGGACGGGCGCTTCCTCCGCGGGTATTACCGGTCAGCCTACGACGGCAAGGACTACATCGCCCTGAACGAGGACCTGCACTCCTGGACCGCCGCGGACACGGCGGCTCAGAACACCCAGCGCAAGTGGGAGGCGGCCAATGAGGCTGAGAGGATGAGAGCCTACCTGGAGGGCGCCTGTGTGAAGTGTCTCCTCTGCTACCTGGAGAACGGGAAGGAGACGCTGCAGCGCGCGGGTACCAGTGGCAGTGGGGAGCCTTTCTCATCTCCTGTAGATCTCCCAGACGAGCCTCCCACAAGGAAGGGAGGAAAATGGAATCAGCGCTAGAATATCGCCCTCCCTTGAATGGAGAATGGCATGAGTTTTCCTGACTTTCCTCTAAGGGCCCCTGTGCTCTCTAGGACAATTAAGGGATGACGTTTCTGAGGGAATGGAGGGGAAGACAGTCCCTGGAATACTGGTCAGGGTCCACTTCGACCCCTGCAGCAGCTTTGGGCACCGTGACTTTTTCTCTCAGGCCTTGTTCTCTGCCTCACATTCAATGTGTTGGAAAGTCTGATTCCAACTTTTCTGAGTCCCTCAGCCTCCACTCAGGTTAGGATCAGAAGTCGCCGTTCCTGCCTTAGAGACTAGAACTTTCCACCGAATAGAAGATTATCCCAGGTGCCTGTGTCCAGGCTGGTGTCTGGGTTCTGACACCCCAGGTGTCCTGTTCATTCTCAGGATGGTCACTTGGGAGCTGCTGGGGTGTCCCATAAGAGATGCAAAGTGCCTGAATTTTCTGACTCTTCCTGTCAGATCCCCCAAAAACACAAGTAACTCACCACACCGTCTCTGACCATGAGGCCACCCTGAGGTGCTGGGCCATGGGCTTCTACCCTGCGGAGATCACATTGACCTGGCAGCGGGATGGGGAGGACCAGACCCAGGACATGGAGCTTGTGGAGACCAGGCCAGCAGGGGACGGAACCTTCCAGAAGTGGGCGGCTGTGGTGGTGCCTTCTGGAGAAGAGCAAAGATACACATGCCACGTGCAGCACGAGGGGCTGCTGGAGCCCTTCACTCTGAGATGGGGTAAGGAGGGGGATGGGTAAGGAGGGGGACAAGGGGTTATGTCTCTTCTCAGGGAAAACAGGAGCCCTTCTGGAGCCTTTAGCAGAGTCAGGGCTGAGGCCTGGGGTCAGGGCCCCTCACCTTCCCCTCCTTTCCCAGAGCCATCTTCCCAGCCCACCATCCCCATCATGGGCATCGTTGCTGGCCTGGTTGTCCTGGGAGCTGTGGTCACTGGAGCTGTGGTCGCTGCTGTGATGTGGAGGAGAAAGAGCTCAGGTAAGGAAGGGATGAGGAGTGGGGTCTGGGTTTTCTTGTCCCTTTAGGGGTTTCAAGCCCCAGGTAGAAGTGTTTCCTGCCTCCTTACTGGGAAGCACCATCCACACATGGGCCAACCCAGCCTGGGGTCCTGTGTGCCATCACTTACTCTTTTGTGAAGCACATGTGACAATGAAGGACAGATGTATCACCTTGATGATTGTGATGATGGGATTCTGATCCCAGCATTTGCAAGTCAGGGGAAGGTCCCTGCTAAGGACAGACCTTAGAAGGGGGGTGGGTCCAGGACCCACACCTGCTTTCCTTGTGTTTTCTGATCCTGCCTTGGGTCTGTAGTCATAGTTCTGGAAACTACTCTTGGTCCAAGACTAGGAGTTTCTGCTAAGATCTCATGGCCCTGCCTCCTCCCAGTCCTTTCACAGGACATTTTCTTCCCACAGGTGGAAAACGGGGGAGCCACTCTCAGGCTGTGTGTAGGTGGTGGGGGTGGGAGTGAGGAGGAGCTCACCTACCCCGTAATTCCTCCTGTCCCACATCTCCTGCGGGCTCTGTTCACATCTTGTTTTTTTTCTACCCCAGTCAGTGGCAGTGCCCAGGGCTCCGATGTGTCTCTCAGGGCTTGTAAAGGTGAGATCCTGGGGGTCTGAAGTGGGCAGGGTTAGGGGCAGAGGGAACAGGACTGGGTAATGAGGATTCTTTGATTGGGGCATTTCGAGTGTGTGATGGGCTGTTCAGAGTGTCATCACTTACCATGACTGACCTGAATTTGTTCATGATTATTGTTTTCTGTAGCCTGAGACAGCTCCTTGTGTGGGACTGAGATGCAGGATTTCTTCACGCCTCCCCTTTGTGACTTCAAGAGCCTCTGGCATCTCTTTCTGCAAAGGCTTCTGAATGTGTCTGCTTCCCTGTTAGCAAAATGTGAGAAGGTGAAGAGACAGCCCACCCTGTGTCCAACATGACCCCTGTCCCCATGCTGACCTGTGTTCCCTCCCCAGTCATCTTTCCTGTTCCAGAGAGGTGGGGCTGGGTGTCTCCATCTCTGTCTCAACTTCATGGTGCATTGAGCTACAATCTCTTACTTCCCTACTGAAAATAAGAATCCGAATATAAATTTGTTCTTCAAATATTTGCCATGAGAGGTTGAGTTAATTAAATAAGTCAATTCCTAAAATTTGAGAGAGGAAATAAAGACCTGAGAACCTTCCAGAATCTGCATGTTCGCTGTGCTGAGTCTGTTGCAGGTGCAGATGGAGAAGGCTGTGAGGAGCCGAGTGTGGGCGGGGCCTGTGCCCAGTTGCTGCTGAGTTCATCATGAGCTATATGTGGTCAGTCCTCAACTGGGCCAGCTTCACTTCTCCACTGTCCTTGTCCCTTCAGAGGAAACTTATCCAGCAAAAGCCGTGACCTCAGAGAGTTACACATCACCCAGGGCAGCCCCTGAACATAGGAGTCTCTGTGTTTCTGAGACAAAGTTTCAGACCCATTCAGCTCCTGGCCTCCTTCTAGGGCTCCTCTTCTGCTCTGCTCTCCTGACCTCTCTCCCTGCCCTGGTTCCAGTGAATTTGGTGCTGGCTCCAATCCCAACTCATGAATCTAAAGCAGAGTCTAATTTAGATTCATATTTGTTTGTTAAAATGGGTCCATAGCCTAGAGTTTTTCTTTCCTGAAGAGAGAAACCTGATTACGTGCTGCAGTGTGCATGGGGGTTGGTGTGGGAGGAGGGTGGGGGAGGGAGGGCACAAGCAGCCCTGCTGAGAAAAGCACAGGCGGCCTGGATGTCAGTGTGAGGGGACCTTGTGCTGTAGCTGCCACAAAACACCATTTGGCCTGAGGCTATGTTAATAAAGATTCTGTCTAGAATAGGAGGTGCTCTACAGTGATCATTCATTCCACTGACATTTAAATGGTTCTGCATCTGGGGAACATCACTGAAGTAAAATCAGAAAAGTCTCTGGCCTTTTGGAGCACATGTTCCAGTGGGAAGAGGCAGACAATAGATACGCTATAACCAGAGTAAGGAAGGAAAGTGCTAAAAGGTGGTAAGTGCAGTGAGGGAGGTGATCCAGGGTGTGAAGAGTGGGGACAGGGAAGGTGGCTGTTGTGCTGGGTGGTCAGTGTGCACCACGTTGCAAAGGTGACCTGTGAGGAAAGAGTTGAGGGACATGTGAGTGTCCATGAAAATGTCTCGAGAAGTTCTTTCCAGGCAGGGGAACCTCCAGGGCAAATGCACTAGGGCAGGGAACTGTCTGTGTTCCCAGAAGAGCAAGGAGGCCAGGAGTGCTGGACAGAGAGAAACTAGATGAGGTCAGAGGTACGGCCACAGCAGGTAGGCTTGAGGGGAGTGGGGTTGGATCTGACCTTTGCTCTGAGTAAGATGGGGACAGCTTTAAGCAGAAGAGGGCCATGATATGATCAGAGGACAGCTTTAAGCAGAAGAGGGCCATGATATGATTTCTCTTTTGAAAGGATTTCTGTGACTGCTATGCTGAGCATGTAATTGAGAGGTGAGGGACGAGGCAAGCAGAAGTGAAAAGAGTGGGAAGTGAGTGCAGTATTCCAGGCTGGAGATGTCAGTTACCTTGACCGGGGTGTGAGCAGGGGGAATAGTGGACGTGAGGAGATTCTAGATGCATTTGAAGATGTACTCACAGCATTTGCCAATGGATTGTATCTGTGGTGTGAGAAAGAAGAATCAAAGACATTCATAGTTGTAAAATGAGTGAGTAGAAGGAAGGGTGGAGCTGCTGTCAGTGGAGATGGGGGGACTATGTCAGGAGTTCGCTGAAAAGGGGGCATCTCAGGCACTCAGTGGAGATGTCTACTAGGAATGCAGGTGAGGGAGCTGCAGTTGGACTGAACCCCAGAGTTTAGGGGAAAGGACCAGGCGGGAGAAATGAACTTAAGAGGTCACACCATATAAACGATACCCAAAACCTCCAGCATAGATGAGGGCACCACGGGGGTGATTGGCAATGGAAAAGAATCAGTGAAAGGACTGAACCCTGGACCTCCAATTCTAAGGGGTCTGATCAGACCACACCCACAGCAGACTGCACAGTTTTGACCCCACGCCTAAAGGACACTCAGACAAGGACCTCCCATGTGCACAGGAATCACCTGGACGTGGTGCTGAGATCCAGGTAGTTGAGTCAAGCAAGAGATTCTGGATTAATTGGTCTGCAGATCACACTTGGAACAGCAAGAACACCAGGATCCCACATCTCTGTGCATCAGCCTCCCCTGTAGGGCTTGTTATTATAAATGATTCCTAGTCTTGTGCATAATACTGTGAGACAGGGGTTTTGGGGAGTGGCCTGAGTACTTTCTAATCCCCCACCAGCAATCCTGTTGCTCAGACAGATTGGAAACCACTGACATCAGTGATCAGAGAGTGTGCAGGGTGGGTGGGTCGGGTGGGTTTTCAAACCTTGGTTAAAAGTGATTTTTTCTCTCAGAAATAAAAGGCAGGATGTACATCACCAATTATGAGATGCGATCTTCCTTGTTGATCTCTCCACCATGGGGTAGAGGCCAGGTAGACAATTCAGGATGTGGCTCTCACACAAAGAAGACCTCTGAATGCTGCTCTCTGACCCTGCTCCACACACTGATTTCTCACTCATTTCTTGGAGCAAACTATGGAAAAAAAATTACTGTAGTTTACACATAAAGTAGTATAGCTGGTATTGGGGGTTAATTTTATTGTGGGGAAGACCACAGAACAAGGCTGAAAACTACACATCCAGGAACAGAATATACAGCCCACCCTGGATCAGGTCCCTCCTAGAAACAACTGCCCCTGCTGCTGAGCACAGACACCACTGCTTACACATCTGACACCCTGGTGCTGGACCCTGGACCCTGAGGCTAGGACAGATGTCACTGCTGCACCTGGAAACTGGACATCACCACTGCCACTCAGCCGCCTTTACTAAAATGCATTCTGCACAGTCCCAGACTCTCTGTGTCACCTCATTCTGGCTCAGATTCTGGCAGTGATATAGGAGTTAAGAAGAAATTATTTAGGCAGAGAGTGAGGGTTTGGAAGTCCTCAGTAAGGTTTTCCTTTTAATGAAAAGTGGCCCCCAAATCATTTTGATTTCTAACAAGGAGAAGCCTGTAAAATCATGCTTCAGACAGACAAGCCAACTGGGAACTCTCACGGGTGAATGCAGCAGCTGTGCCAATAGGGAAAGGATGCCTGGAACTAGGCATGTTTGCATGGCGGCTCCATCTTCCCTTCTCTTTACCAGCCACGTGTATAGTAAACAGCAGACAATATGGGACCAGCCAGATGGAAAGTCCATTTGCATAATAGGATTAGGGTGGGATGAACAGCCTTCCCCACAAACTGTGTAAATGTCACAGCTGTTCCAACCAACCTGTGGGCCCTACATAAATCAGACACCATCTCCTCAAGCCTGCCTATACAATCAGATGCACTCCCATTCCAGGCCAAAATTCCCTTTCAGAGCCCCTCTGTCTCGCAAGAGAGAGAGCTGCTTCACTTTGTCTCTCTTTTGCCTATTAAACCTCTGCTCCTAAACTCACTCCTCATGTGTCTGTGTCCTTAATCCTCTTGGTGAAAGACAATGAACCGGAGCATTTACTGAGAGAAAGATGCTGCTTCAGCAGGTGGTCTTCTGACAGGTGCAGCCTAAGACTCACGTCCATGATCAACTGCAGGGGTGACTGGAATGTTTTTCTCTTCTAGGGAGGGAGGTGGTTTCTGTCTCCTCTCGAAACTTTACATGTTGTAGGGCAGCCATGGTGGCTCACACCTGTATTCCCAGTATTTTGGGAGGCCGAGGTGGGTGGATCACCTGAGGTCATGGGTTTGAGACCAGTCTAGCCAACATAGTGAAACCCCATCTCTACTAGTAATACAAAATTAGTGAGGCATGGTGGTGCATACCAGTAATCCCAGCTATTGGGAGGGTGATACAGGAGAATTACTTCAACCTGGAAGGTGGAGATTGCAGTGAGCTGATTGTACCACTGCACTCCAGGCTGGGCAATAAGAGCAAAACTCCACCACACACCTGCGCGCGCGCGCATACACACACACACGCACACAAACACACACACACTCTTTACATGTTGTAAAACAAAAATAAACTTCAAAGCCACCCTTCCCAACCATCTTAATGGACACCCTCCTCAGCCAGGACACTCAAAAGTTAACCTGAAAGACTGACTGAGGCCACCATGAGAAGCAGGTGTTGAACATGTCTCATTATACCCTCTTCCCTTTTAAAATTTAGGAAAAGCTGACCAGCATTTACCATTAACACAGACCTTAAGTCTGATCAGAAACATTTCCAATCTATTCTCTCTGAAGGCGGCCACATGGAGACTTCATCTGCATGATAAAATATTGGTCTCCACAATCTCTTATCATAACCCAGACATTCCTTTGTCTTGACAATAACTCAACCAATTACTAATCAGAACATTTTTAAATCTATCTATAAGCCAGAAGCACTACCCTCACCCACACTTGCTTCAAATTGTTCTGCCTTCCTGGACTGAACCAATGTATACCTTAAATGTATTTTATTGTTGTCTCATATCTTCCTAAAATGTATAAAACCAACCTGACCCCAAACACCTTGAACACACGTTCTCAGGGTCTCCTAAGGGCTGTGTCATGGGCTGTGGTCACTCAAATATGGCTCAGAATAAATCTCTTCAAATATTGTACAGAGTTTGACTCCTTTTATTGACAGTGTGGAATTCTGATGTAGGAAGAGAGTTCAAGTGCTGGGTATGAGGGTTGGGAAAGAATGACAAATTTTAATTCTTGGAGCAGTGATCCAAGACAAGGACTTTATCTGGTGCCTGGTAGGCACTTGGAGTGTCTGAATAAACCAGTGACTAATAAATAACATCTTTCCACCCATTCCCTTGAAAATAAGTTATTACCTGAAGCATTTTTCTATCCCAGTTCATAGTCTAGATCAGGCGTCCCCAAACTACTGCCCGTGGGCCGCATGCGGCCCCCGAGGCCATTTATCCCGCCCCCGCCGCACTTCAGGAAGGGGCACCTCTTTCATTGGTGGTCAGTAAGTGGAGTACTGTATGTGGCGGCCCTCCAACAGTCTGAGGGCCAGTTCACTGTCCCTCAGATTATTGGAGTGGCATTGTGTGATGGTGAAATGATTATTCACACATCTTCCCTCAGCATTATCTCTTACCAGGATTAAAAA